GAAGTACTGAGTGTACAGCTTGTATAACAGTGCAACTTTTCTGTCCCCTCAAAATAACTCAACACACAGCCATTAATGTCTAAACTGCTTACAACAACAGTGAGTACACCCCTAAGTGAAAATGTCCAAATTGGGCCCAATTAGCCATTTTCCCTCCCCGATGTCATGTGACTCCTTAGTGTTACAATGTCGTAGGTGTGAATGGGGAGCAAGTCTGTTAACCACTTCCTGTCCGGACACTTTTACCCCCTTCCTGTTCAGGGCAATTTTCAGCTTTCAGTGCTATCACACTTTGAATGACAATTGTGCGGTAATGCAACACTGTACCCATATGAATTTTTTTATCATTTTTTTGAGACAGATAAAGCTTTATTTTGGTTGTATTTATTCATGGGATTTTATTTTTTTTTGCTATGTAAATGAAAATGTCCAAAAATTTTGAAAAAAAAAGTGTTTTTCTTATAAAATTTTGCAAATAAATAATCTTTCATCATAAATCTTGGCCGAAATGTATTCCGTTATCTTTTTAGTAAAAAAAAAAAAAATAAGCCAAATTAGTTTATAACCAAAAATTTTTTAAAATAAAAATTTTTTTTACATTTTTTTTAAATTTTTATATTATTATTTATGTTTTTTTTTTTTTTTTTAAGTACTGTCACCCTAGCAGTACAGTGAGTCACAGTTTGTCATGGCCAATCAGTGACCTCTGTGATCACATGATCAGGACCTTGCTTCGTACAGATTGGTCAGTGATCACATCCAACGAGGTTGGTGTGTTCACTGTGTCCAGAGGACACAGCGGGCACCGTATCGCGGTGCTGCGCGCTCCCAGGGAGCACGCACATCTAGAAATGGCGGGGGCCGTTTATGAACAGCAACCCACCCCTGGAGTGCCACCGTCCTGCCATTTCTAAACAGCAGGCGGCGGCAAGTGGTTAAATTTGGTGTTATTGCTCTCACTCGCTCATACTGGTAACTGGAAGTTCAACATGGCACCTCATGGCAAAGAACTCTCTGAGGATCTGAAAAAAAGAATTGTTGCTCTACATAAAGATGACCTAGGCTATAAGAAGATTGCCAAGACCTTGAAACTGAGCTGCAGCACGGTGGCCAATACCATACAGCGGTTTAACAGGACAGGTTCCACTCAGAACAGATCTCGTCATGGTTGGCCAATGAGGTTGAGTGCACGTGCTGAGCATCATATCCAGAGGTTGTCTTTAGGAAATAGACGTATGACTGCTGCCGGGCATTGTTGCAGAGTTGAAGGGGTGGGGGGTCAGCCTGTCAGTGCTCAGACCATACACAGCACACTGCATCAGATTGGTCTGAATGGCTGCACAAGAAAGCCCACAAACAGTTTGCTGAAGACAAGCAGACTAAGGACATGGAATACTGGAATCATGTCCTGTGGTCTGATGAGACCAAGATAAACTGATTTGGTTCAGATGGTGTTTCAGATGGTTTCAAGCATTTGTGGCGGAAGCCAGGTGAGGAGTACAAAGACAAGTGTGTCTTACCTACAGTCAAGCATGGTGGTGGGAGTATCATGGTCTGGGGCTGCCTGAGTGCTGTTGCCAGTGGGGAGCTACAGTTCATTGAGGGAACCATGAATGCCAACATGTACTGTGACATACTGAAGCAGAGCATGATCCCCTCCCTTCGGAGACTGGGCCACAGGGCAGTATTCCACCATAACGACCCCAAACACACCTCCAAGACGACCACTGCCTTGCTAAAGAAGCTGAGGGTAAAGGTGATGGACTGGCCAAGCATGTCTCCAGACCTAAACCCTATTGAGCATCTGTGGGGCATCTTCGAATGGAAGGTGGAGGAGCGCAAGGTCCCTAACATCCACCAGCTCCGTGATGTCATCATGAAGTAGTGGAAGCGGACTCCATTGGCAACCTGTGAAGCTCTAGTGAACTCCATGCCCAAGAGGGTTAAGGCTGTGCTGGAAAATAATGGTGGCCACACAAAATATTGACACTTTGGGCCCAATTTGGACATTTTCACTTAGGGGTGTACTCACTTTTGTTGCCAGCAGGTTTAGACATTAATGGCTGTGTGTTGAGTTATTTTGAGGGGACAGCAAATTTACACTGTTATACAAGCTGTACACTCACTACGTTACATTGTAGCAAAGTGTCATTTCTTCAGTGTTGTCACATGAAAAGATAGAATAAAATATTTACAAAAATGTGAGGGGTGTACTCACTTCTGTGAGATACTGTAAGTCACATTAAGTGGTGGTTTACAGCTCATCCAACCTGCTTTTTCAGTTTTATTGAGGCTCAGGAACACACCCGGCATTTAGGGCTCATGCACATGGGTGCTTTGGCTCAAACAGCATAAAAAGCAGATGTTTTTTGGCTCAAGGGAGGCACAGGTGCAGCATACAGACTCACGTTTAGGACCATATGAATTCAGGAACATACGCCTTGTATGTAGAATATCTGCATTCATGGTATACATCCCTGAACATATATGGCCCAAAACATGAGTAATGCTCACACCAGCGTCTGAGGGAGGGTGACTGTGACACGAGGCAGCAGCAGCTGCACAGAGCGAAGCGGGAATGGCCAGCGTCTGTCCCGCCCACCGCTCTATTGCTATTGGCTCCTTGTAATTCCTCTGCTTGGGAGAAGAGTTTTGGGGGAAGAGCTCGAAAGTGCAGGACACTTGCTATGTATCTGCCGGACCAACAGGCCCCCCATGTGGATGAAGTGGTGGTTGTTGCTCTCCTTTCCAGTCCAGGTGTGTCCCTCTTTCTCTTGTGTTCTCCACAGGCTAGCTTACCACTGCTGTGCTGCTGGTGAATTTCTTCTGTTCCTTCATACTAGATAATTAGAGCCTGAGAGATTGTGTGGCTGTGGAAACTGGAAAAATTGATGATTGAGCCTCCATTGCTATTTGGTTAGACCCTCTTCACATCTAGCGATTTGTGGGCAAAATCGCTGTGATATGTCTTTAGTATGTCTGCAGTGTCTGACCATCTCCCGTATCCTGTCTGCAGTCTCTGACCATCTCCCGTATCATGTCTGCAGTCTCTGACCATTTCCTGTAGTAGGTCCGCAGTGTCTGACCATCTCTCCCGTAGTAGCTCCGCAGTCTCTGACCATCTCTCTCGTAGTAGCTCCGCAGTCTCTGACCATCTCCCGTAGTAGGTCTGCAGTCTCTGACCATCTCCCGTAGTAGGCCCGCAGTTTCTGACCATCTCCCGTAGTAGGTCAGCAGTCTCTGGCCATCTCCCGTAGTAGGTCTGCAGTCTCTGATAATCTCCCAGAGTAGGTCCACATTCTATGACCATCTCCCGTAGTAGGTCCTCAGTCTCTGACCATCTCCCGTAGTAGGTCCGCATTCTCTGACCATCTCCCGTAGTAGGTCCACAGTCTCTGACAATCTCCCGTAGTAGGTCCTCAGTCTCTGACCATCTCTTGTAGTAGGTAAGCAGTCTCTGACCATCTCCTGTAATAGGTAAGCAGTCTCTGACCATCTCCTGTAGTATGCTTTCCATCTCTGACCATCTCCTGTAGTATGCCTGCAGTATCTGACCATCTCTTGTAGTAGGTTTGCAGTCTCTGACCATATCTTGTAGTAGGTCTGCAATCTCTGACCATCTCCCGCAGTAGGTCCGCAGTCTCTGACCATCTCCCATAGTAGGTCTGCAGTCTCTTACCATCTCTTGTAGTAGGTGCTCAGTCTCTGATCATCTCTTGTAGTAGGTAAGCAGTCTCTGACCATCTCTTGTAATGGGTAAGCAGTCTCTGACCATCTCCTGTAGTATGCCTTCCGTCTCTTACCATCTCTTGTAGTAGGTCTGCAATCTCTGACCCTCTCCCGTAGTAGGTCCGCAGTCTGTGATCATCTCTTGTAGTAGGTCTGCAATCTCTGACCATCTCCCGTAGTAGGTCCGCAGTCTCTGACCATCTCCTGCAATAGGTAAGCAGTCTCTGACCATCTCCTGTAGTAGGTCTGCAGTCTCTGACCATCTCCTGTAGTATGCCTGCAGTCTCTGACCATCTCCTGTAGTATGACTGTAACGGAACCGGAACCCGTTATATTCAGTTATACCGCAGCTTCCCCTGTCCGAACACCATCCACGGACCACACACTTGAAATCCCTCAGGAAAATAGACAGCACCCAGCTCTTCTTAAAACAGGAAGCCAACACTTTATTTTAACACAAAACACAGGATATATACAGAGGGCAGGGAAACACAACCAGGAACAGGAAACACATCATCAACCCGCCCCATCAGTGGGAAGGGCTGCAGGGAATACATCATCATCCAGCCCCATCAGTGGGAAGAGCTACAGGGAACCACCCCAAGACACAGAACAATGGGATGAAGCACATGGCAAACAAACAATGGACAGCCATGTGGCCGAGAACAAAGGAATAGCCACATGGCAGTAGACAATGGGCAACCACATGGCCGAGACAAAGGAACACACACTATACACAAGACTGGGACATTCACATTTACACCCTGTACCCCTTAACAGGCACAGGGTGGGTTAAACATAATGAGGGGGACATGAGCTGACCAAGCAGTCCCCCCACCCCCAAAAGTCACTCCTGTCACAATGTCCACAGTCTCTGACCATCTCCCGTAGTAGGTCCGCAGCCTCTGACCATCTCCTGCAATAGGTAAGCAGTCTTTGACCATCTCCTGTAGTAGGTCTGCAGTCTCTGAACATCTCCTGTAGTATGCCTGCAGTCTCTGACCATCTCCTGTAGTATGTCCACAGTCTCTGACCATCTCTTGTAGTAGGTCCTCAGTCTCTGACCATCTGTAATAGGTAAGCAGTCTCTGATAATCTCCTGTAGTATGCCTGTAGTCTCTGATCATCTCCTGTAGTATGTCTGCAGTCTCTGACTATCTCCTGTAGTATGTCTGCAGTCTCTGACCATCTTCCCTATTATGTCTGCAGTCTCTGACCATCTCCTGTAGTATGCCTGCAGTCTCTGACCATCTCTTGTAGTAGGTCCGCAGTCTTTGACCATCTCCCATCTTTGAGTAGTAGGACCGCAGTCTTTCACCATCTCCCGTAGTGGGACCGCAGTCTCTGACCATCTCCCGTAGTAGGTCCGCAGTCTCTGACCATCTCCCGTAGTAGGTCTGCAGCCTCGTACCATCTCCTGTAATAGGTCTGCAGTCTCTGACCATCTCCTGTAGTATGCCTGCAGTCTCTGACCATCTCCTGTAGTAGGTCCTCAGTCTCTGACCATCTCCTGTAGTAGGTCCTCAGTCTCTGACCATCTCCTGTAGTAGGTCCTCAGTCTCTGACCATCTCCTGTAATAGGTAAGCAGTCTCTGATCATCTCCTGTAGTATGTCTGCAGTCTTTGACCATCTTCCCTATCATGTCTGCAGTCTCCGCCCATCTTCCTTATCATGTCTGCAGTCTCTGACCATCTCCTGTAGTATGTCTGCAGTCTATGACCATCTTCCCTATTATGTCTGCAGTCTCTGACCATCTCCTGTAGTATGGCTGCAGTCTGACCATCTCCCATAATAGGTCTGCAGTCAATGACCTCAGTACCACTTCTCCTGTCCTGGATGTTGGGTGTAATTCTCGATGTCTGTTCCTATTCTGTATTTATGGACTCTGCACAGTCCTACTTCTCTTAGGGCTCATGCACATGGCCACAAAAAATGCAGCTTTTTATCAGTTGTGTCCAGGCTTGGACATCTGTCCCTAACTGCAGGTAACTGCTTTGTGTGTGACTACATGTGTACAGTGGCAACCGCTGTCTGCCTGTCATTTGTTTAAATAGGCTAAGCAACTGCTGCTATTTGCATGCTCGGTCATTCCAGTCGAAGAAAGCCGCTGGTTCTAGCCATTGGAATTCAGTGGCTGCAAATAAATAGCTGTGTGAAGGAGGCTCTAGTTTGAATGGCTTATACATAGCCTACCCCAATGTAGTGGCCTTTGCAATGCTCAGATAAGGTTGCACAGTAAGGATGGCTTGGCTATTATCATGTCTTAGGCTTTGTTCACACATACTGCAGTGACTTGTGTTTTACTGCATTGAATGACCACAGGTCACTGCTAGGACACACAGAAAACAATTGTGTTCTGTGTGTCCTGTTCACACTGCAACACAGCCCGAAAGTATGGTGCAGTGAGCTGTGCTGCATTTTATTGCAGTGCACAGGATGGTGCCGCATGTCACCACACATAGCAGTGCAAAGCACCCCGTTGCTGTGCTATGCTTTGACATGAATGACATTAATAACACATTTTTTACCTGCTACTGACACCCCCCCCCGAACAAAAAATTATCTACAGTCCTGTGCATGAGTCCTTATATCCACCCAGCTACCATTTATCCAGTTACCATTGAATGTGTTAGAGCAGATGTTGTGAAGAATGGCATAGCAGGTGGGGAAGTTTTGAAACCACCCTGTTTTAATACTGGAAGATTTATACAACCAACCTTGTTTTCATTCCTTTTGAGTTTTTTACTTGCACATACGTACACACGCTACAATGCCAAAAGTATTAGGACACCCCTCCAAATCATTGGATTCAGGTGTTCCAATCACCTCCATGGTCACAGGTGTATAAAATCAAGCCCCTAGGCATGCAGACTGCTTCTACAAACATTTGTGAAAGAATGGGTCGCTCTCAGGAGCTCAGTGAATTCAAGCGTGGTACTGTGATAGGTTGCCACCTGTGCAATAAGTCCATCTGTGAAATATCCTAGCTAAATATTTTGCAGTCAGCTGTTAGTGGTATTATAACAAAGTGGAAGCAACTTGGAACAACAGCAACTCAGCCACGAAGTGGTAGGCCACGTAAAATGACAGAGCGGGGGGTCAGTGCATGCTGAAGCGTACAGTGCACAGAAGTTGCCAACTGTCTGCAGAGTCAGTAGCTAAAGACCTCCAAACTTCATGTGGCCTTCAGATTAGCAAAACAGTGTGTAGAGAGCTTCATGGAATGGGGAATAAGGTTGAAATAAAAAAAGGTTATTATATATGTGTTTTAGTCAGAATGATACAAAACAGAAGCTTTCTGAGCAACAATTCCAAAATTTGCTGTACAAGAAGTCCCCACCCCAAGGGCAGTCACATCAATTCCCTGGTTCAAAATATTGCTATATTACTTAATATTGCTAATTTTGCAACAAATTAGAGAAAATGTAACAAGCCAATAAACAAGATAGTACAAGTAAAATACATTATCTTGTGTTTGTTTAAATGCATCCAGAAGTTCAGTATTTGAGGTACAGAGATTGTGGCACCTCAGGGCTTGGTGTTCCCAGTTGAAGAAGAGGAAAAAAGGAATAATGGTAGGTGGTGGGTGGGCGTAGAGAGGTAGGTTTAGGGAATAGGAAGGATGATGGTGGGGGTGTAAGGGGATGGAATGGGGTGTGGATTTGGTTTTATCATCTTAAGCTATCAAGACCAATACTGGGAGGTATTCAAAGTAGGCATGAGAAAAGAGTGGGAAGTGGGAAGATTTATAAGTGCCTATAGTCCAGATGTGTGGATAAAAAAAGGAGGATAGAAGTGAGAGAAAGGAAAAGAGAACGGTAAGGAGGGAAAGACTGGCATGTGAGTGGGGAAGAAAGGATGGATAAGAAGAAAATGGCACTCGGGGCTCCTGGCCATACATGGTGGGTTCCTCACAAAGTTTTAAGATTCTTGATGGAAAGTGTGGGATGGTGCAATTGAATCCCTGGGCCCATACCCTGAGAAACCTGCCATGTATGTTTGTGAGGTCGTTTTTTTGTTAACATAAAAGGTGTCAATATGATTTCCAACTTCAGAAAATAGTTTGAGTTGTGCTTTCCATGCCCAAGCTTTCATGGATTTAGAGGCTAATAATACAAAGTGAGCTAGTTTAAAATATTTTTTTTTTTGAGGTTTGGAGGTTTGTGCATAAGTATAGAGGGTACTAAGTACCATCTGGGCAAGCCCTGAAGGTAGACTCAAGAGCAGTAATACTGGTGGTACAGGTAGCAACTGTAGTCTAGGTCTCCAACCAGTCTTCCTCTGTCTTGCTAACCTAAGTCTTCCTCCCATTTGGAAACATAAGAGTTTGTAGTGGGTGAAGGTAACTGGTTAAAATGAGAATAGACTATAGAGATATGTTTGCGTGATAGGGGCTTTTAATTGCAAATATGTTCAAAAGTGGTAAGTTTTGTAGAGAGAACCTTAGAAATGAGTGATGTGACCTAATGTCTGAGTTGTACAGTACAGGTGAAATTCGAAAAATTAGAATATCGTGCAAAAGTTCATTTATTTCAGTAATGCAACTTAAAAGGTGAAACTAATATATGAGATAGACTCATTACATGCAAAGCAAGATAGTTCAAGCCGTGATTTGTCATAATTGTGATGATTATGGCTTACAGCTCATGAAAACCCCAAATCCACAATCTCAGAAAATTAGAATATTACATGCAATCAATAAAACAAGGATTGTACATAGAACAATATCAGACCTCTGAAAAGTATAATCATGCATATGTACTCAGTACTTGGTTTGAGCCCCTTTTGCAGCAATTACTGCCTCAATGTGGCGTGGCATGGAAGCTATCAGCCTGTGGCACTGCTGAGGTGTTATGGAAGACCAGGATGCTTCAATAGCGGCCTTCAGCTCTTCTGCATTGTTCAGTGTCATGTCTCTCATCTTTCTCTTGGCAATGCCCCATAGATTCGTTATGGGGTTCAGGTCAGGCGAGTTTGCTGGCCAATCAAGCACAGTAATCCCACGGTCATTGAACCAGGTTTTGGTGCTTTTGGCAGTGTGGGCAGGTGCCAAGTCCTGCTGGAAAATGAACTCAGCATCCACACAGTAGTCCACCATGTAAAAACTGTTGGGGATTCAAGTCCTTGAGAGAAAGGTGGGTCGGCCTCCAGGGGAAGATGTGGTGATATTAGCTTGCTAACAGTACTTAAAACTGTCTGAGATGTTCAGAGATTGTTATGCCTCATTAGAAGGTTCATGGTCTTAGTCTGTGTGAAGTCCAGGGTAGAGCCTTAAGGTTTGTGGGTGAGCAGAGAAGCCTCCAGTTCCATCCTTGGAAGGGGGGGGGTCACAGGCCGTTTATAGTGCAAATAGAGGGGTAACCTGGGCAGCCTGATAATGTTTCAAAAAGTGGGCTACCCCAGGTCTCTTTGGCGCCTATGTACAGTATGTACATAGTTTGCCTGGGGGTCCTTAGTATCTTACTGTGCAATATAAAGGATATAACATGGTTTTGGAAAGGATTAAAAAATATCTAACCCTCCCCCCCAAACAATGATATGTCACAGCCAGGGGCGGACTGACAACTCGTGGGGCCCCCGGGCAATAGGAGATCATGGGGCCCCTGTGTCCTTGCCCAAACTCAAAAAAGTCAATGAAAAAGGTACCAGGGGCATCTCATGGGGCCCCCAACTGACCCCGGGCCCTCGGGAAGTGCTCGAGTTTCCAAATGGTCAGTCCACCCCTGGTCACAGCTTGCCAATCCTGATGCGTTAGATTTCTGTTTTTAATCTTTTTTCCCTGATGATTCAGCCATCCAATCAAGTTCACCAATCCGATCAAGTCTGCCTAAAAAACTGAAAGGCAGACCTGCCATTTTTAAAGGGGCCTTAAAGTGAGTTATGATCACCTCCTGTAAATAAATACATGGTCCTTATAGCAAATCTAGTTGCAATGTGTTTACTCTTTATCCAAAACCTTTTTTGTTTGTTTTTGACAGAGTAGGGTGGGCTGGAACCTGTTAGATTTCTTTTTTCTGTCCAAAGATGCACAATACAGAAACTGGGAGGAAAATTAAAGTCAGGTGGAAATGAATGGAAAGGCAATAAAATGTAAGTCAACATGACCGATGCTTGATAACATGAGCTTTACGTTGCACATCAACACGTGTTCAACTGAAGTCGCACAAATTCAAAGTCGATTGTCAGTGCAATTTCAGGTGCACCGATTAGAACGGTTCAATTGCTAATCATCGGGTGCAACTTGTCATGCGATTTGAACTGTGAAATCGCATCAGTGTGAATGGGTTCTCATTGGCAAAGCTTAACTGAACAAGCTGATTGTTTGCTATGAACAGCTGCACCAGATTCTGTGTGCGCCAGTTTTAGTAAATCTCTCCCAGTGTGTCTGCTCCTTACGACTCAGGATAAAATAAATACTAATTGTTTTTATATTATTGGATCCCTCACATTGATGTGACAGCAGGAGTGAGATCACTGTTAAACTGAGATGAAGCCGTTTATCATGGGTTAGACATCATACAGTTTTTTATAGATAAAGTACAGTGTGTCACAGAGTTTATACAGAAAATGTTGGTAAATCCAATTTGTTATATAGTGTTTTTTTAGTCTTTAGATGGCATGTGACAGAGTGCTTGTGCAACATAAATACATAAATAAAAGCATTTTAACACAGTTAAATCAGATTAGCACACATGGCTGCTTTTTTGTGGCATGACGTTTTCACAAAGTTGTTCTTTCATCTGTTGTTTTATGTTGACATAGTAAATCTTTTGTTTTAGGAAAGTT